CCTCGAGCAGAACTTCATCGAGAATGGCTACAACAACGAACAGCAGGTGGGTCATTAGTTTCCCCCTTAATCCGCTTAGGTTTTGGCTAGTCTTAAGAAGTAGATGGTCATGGTCGAACTAATCCTATGTGATACAAACCATTTCTTTCTCTCTGGATGCTGCCCTCCTACCCATGCCATACAAAACCCATACCCACACACGAAACTTAACCTATTAGCAGAGATCCAACTCCACCAGTTCACCAGGTCTGGGCATAATGAACGAGCTGATGCGACGCGGTGGGGTTTTGACCCTCTTGCGTGGCAGGGGTCGCCACTTCAAGCGCAAGAGTACTCCCCAACCGGCGACGCCCATGACACGATCGCGACAAGGACGCTTCAATAAGTTGCAGCCACGATCCCAGAGCCTGGGATCCCTGTCGGTAATTAGGGATGGGATCGGGCCAAGTCCTGCACGTTATGAGCCCATTACTAACCATCGTTTGCGCCAGGCGGCAAGTGTTCATTATTTGGGCGAGGAGATCGCCACGAGCTCCAACAATCCGCCCGATTTGCCGCGTCTGCGGCGAACCCAGTGTTCCATGTTGTGTTTGGGCGAGGACGAGGAGCCTCTTGTCCTTGCCTCGCCCGCCCCGCTTACCCAGCTCACCGCTGCTGTCCTTACTAACACCAATAACAATCATATCTATGCCGATCTGGAGTTGGATAAGAAAAAGGATACCTCGCCGAGTCCAGAAAGTGAGGCGGAAACGGAAACGGAACGGGAACATATTCACCCGAAACAAGAGCAAATACAAATAGAAATCAACCAAAGTGCACCCCAGAACTCCATTGATGCCCATCTGGACAGGATTGATGAGCTGAACCGAGTGCTAGACGATCGACTGAAGCGCACTCTGCAGCCCAGCGATGATGTGAATGCCATCGAAAGTGCCGAGGAGAATCACATACAAGCCAGAAAGTTGGTCAAAGATCCAGATAGCCATACGAAACGCAGTTCCAGTTCCAGCTCAGAGTGCCGCTCCTCCAAGGATACCAGTCAATCCAAGAAGCGATCACTGTCCTTTAGTCAGAAGTCCATAAGCAACATATTCAGCAACCTAAAGGAGTTCTCCAAGAGTCCACTCGTTAGGATGGGCAAGCATCATACCCACAACGAAGAACAGGATGCGAAAAGAACGCAACCAAGTCAACAGCATCATTCCAGTGGCAGTGATTGCCCCACAAACAGTAGCAGTTCCAGCAGTAATAATAATAATAATAACAATAAAAATACCAGTAGCAATAGCAATCACAGTGCCTCACAGTCCACGATCATAACGAGCACGATCACCACCACCATAACGACTACAACTACAACGACGCCGTCCAAGGAAAACTCAAGACTGAAATTCAAGGTGCCCAAGATCCAGAAGAAATCAAAGGCCATCCGCAATACATTCCGCTCCAAGTTGCTCAATTTCCAGCTGAAGCGCTCCAAGCCATGCAAACAGTGCACCAAAAGACGACGCATCCATCCCAGCAAAAGTGTCTTTGATTTCGCCAAAGAGTTCGAGGTGGATCAACCGACTGGTTCCCCCGCGGATGAGCAATTCTGCAGCTGTCCGCCAGCTGGTCAGAAACCAGTTAAGCCATCCGTCCAAATATCTGGCCACAAGGAGCACCAATTCGAGTCCAGTTCCGGAGAGCTGGAGGAGAACTCGGATCGGGACGTCGACAACGACGAGGAGGAGGATAGCGCCAGTGACGATGTGCTCAGCATGAAGGATCACTGCTACTGCGTGCCCAGCCTGGCGGCCAGTGTGAGTTACCCGTAGTCGCATCCGTATCCGTATCCGTATCAGTATCAGTATACCAGTATCCGAGAATAAACCACCGCACACACCGTATCGAGAGTATCTAAGCCAACTGGGCGCCACCAGACGCCATCTCACAGAGACTCAAAAACCGCATCGCTTTGCTTGCCTCTTCAATTTGCATGTTTGATTGATTGTGCATGATTTTTTCTTTCTTCCGTGCTCACGTTCAGAATCGAAGGCATGTTGTGGGGAAAGAGCTTTTTATAGAGCGGATCCATAAATAAAACACAGGGTGACCTTAAAACTTATGGGTTGCGTATAGCAAGTAGTCGTTTACGTTTTGATTTCAGTTTAGAACATCAAAGAGTTACCTTAACGCACACATTTGTATCTCAAAGAATAGATGTTTCGCATAACATAAATCAGTAAAATAAAGTCAAGATTTCCAGTTAGTTAGGGTGTAGAAGCATCGCTGCTGAATTTCAAGTTTCCGCACCCTTCCCCATTGCCAAAAATTACTTGTGCGTGGCTATGAGAAAGAGCGAAAGTGTTCAGATGGGAGAATAAAGCGATTATATCTTTTAGTTCTCACCGATCGGACGAGCAGTTTGGATGCCGACCAGCAGTCGCCATTAATCTAGTCCATTGAAATGTTTGGCGTCTGTTTGGCCAGTGAGCAGTTGGAGATACATATCACATTTGTATCCGACAGAACGCGTGACTATTTCAGTTTCGGTTTTGTGCCGTGAGACAATTGCGCAAGTTGAAGTAGTAGTTTTTTTGGTTTGGGTCATCTGGTGGTTCCATCATGAGCAGTTCCGGACACAGCAGCAACTATGCCGGAGCCGATAATGGGGGGATTTTCGAGACAATTGTCTTTACGGGTCGGCCAATTCCACCGGCCCGAAAAAAGCGGCCAAAATCGAAAGTATTTGTGAGTCACACGACGAGACAACCTTGAATGTAGATCCATATTTTCCACCTTTCGCAGTAACGGATGTATACTTATGATTTCATACGACTTTTGCTTACTGTATTATATTATAATTAATTATAATTCATTTGCGTTTCTATCCCCAAGCCACTGCAATTTCGTCAGAGCCAATTGCACCCACGCATTTCCGTTGCCCATTTGGAAATGTGGAAAAATGGCGTGTTAACCGATTCGCAGCTATTTTAATTTCCTTCGCCTATGTTTTCTTTCGTACTTTGCATGCTTTCACTAAACCGCCGGAGATCATGGTATATGGATTTAGCTAATTATTCGGATCTTGCAGATATCGCTATCCACAAATCGACCGCTCTACGAGGAGGAATGGTTCCATGGCGTTCTGCCGCGTGAGGAGGTGGTTCGATTGCTGAATAACGATGGTGACTTCCTGGTCCGCGAAACGATTCGAAACGAGGAGAGCCAGATTGTGCTCAGTGTCTGTTGGAATGGCCACAAGCACTTCATTGTCCAGACCACCGGCGAGGGTAATTTCCGGTTCGAGGGACCGCCCTTCGCCAGCATCCAGGAGCTGATCATGCATCAGTATCACTCGGAATTGCCAGTGACCGTGAAATCGGGAGCAATACTCCGGCGACCCGTTTGCCGGGAGCGCTGGGAGCTGAGCAACGATGATGTGGTGCTTCTGGAGAGGATTGGCCGGGTAAGTAATCAAGCTATGACTTAACGAATTTCATACTCAATGGCTCCTGATATTCGTAGGGCAACTTTGGGGACGTCTACAAGGCCAAGCTAAAGTCCACCAAACTGGATGTGGCTGTCAAAACCTGTCGTATGACCCTGCCCGATGAACAGAAGCGCAAATTCCTTCAGGAAGGACGCATCCTTAAGCAATACGATCATCCAAATATCGTCAAACTGATTGGCATTTGTGTGCAGAAGCAGCCCATTATGATTGTCATGGAACTGGTGCTGGGTAAGTTCTGCAAATACTTGGAATATTAGTCATACATGTAATTGTTTAAACTTTGTAGGTGGTTCGCTGCTAACTTATTTGCGCAAGAACTCCAATGGGCTCACAACTCGCCAACAAATGGGCATGTGCAGAGATGCGGCGGCAGGTGGGTGCACTTAAAGCTAAATAAATACATTTTAAATAATATTAAATAACTCTTTTTGCAAGGCATGCGATATCTGGAGTCCAAGAACTGCATTCATCGGGATCTGGCGGCGCGTAATTGCCTCGTCGACTTGGAGCACAGTGTGAAGATCTCCGACTTCGGAATGTCCCGCGAGGAGGAGGAGTATATAGGTAATGGTAACTGCTCAGGAGAGATGAGAACTTAAACTAATTGAAGTGTGCTTCCATAGTTTCCGATGGCATGAAGCAAATACCCGTGAAGTGGACAGCTCCCGAGGCCCTGAATTTCGGAAAGTACACCTCTCTGTGCGACGTGTGGTCCTATGGCATACTGATGTGGGAGATCTTCTCCAAGGGGGACACACCCTACTCCGGCATGACCAACTCAAGAGCCCGCGAGCGCATCGATACGGGTAACTATTAATATCTGTGCTATGAATGGGAAGTGGATAAGAGCACTCTGTTTCATTGCAGGATACCGCATGCCAACGCCGAAGAGCACGCCGGAGGAGATGTACCGACTGATGCTCCAGTGCTGGGCAGCCGACGCCGAGTCCCGGCCGCATTTCGATGAGATCTACAATGTGGTCGATGCACTGATCCTGCGCCTGGACAACAGCCACTGAGAGCGGCTCCATGCGGAACATGGAACTTAGCATATACTCAACGTAGATTTAGTCAGCGCTTTTAAAGTACGTCACGTCCGAGGACTTGATAACGAGTTGCCTGTATTTATGAGATAGCCTATACCTTTACCTATACATTTTACCACATAAAGCATATTTATATAGAGACATATATATATTTTCTAGCCATGTAAATGTAAATTTCGATGTGTACTGTAGTGTGTGTTTTTGCCTGACTGAGCGTATGTAATAAATCCTTAATGTGCCAAAAACCGCAAGAGATCTTGAAACAACAAAGGAAAGTAAACAAAAAAAATAAGATAAAAAATATATAACTGATATTGTGTGTCTGCTACTGAAGAACGGCTTTCGTAAGCTAAGCTCATGAATTTATATAATTTTAGTTGTTTGTGTTTTAGTTTCTAAGCAGTGATTCATAATTTGTATATTATGCAATCCCTACGTTTGTCAATTTGTTTCTAGACTTTGTATTCTATGTATATTTATTTACACCTAATTTACATTTCTACTTCGATACGATTATGTTTACTGTAATACAACTACGCTCTAAGTTAAAGCTTTAAGTTTTGCTGCGCTGCTGAAGTGAATAAATCATATGTGTACTTTATATATATAAATATATATACAGAAGAGTATCCTACGGATCGCAATCATTTGTAAGGGCCAGCGGCACATCGGAGAACTGAACTTTCGAGTAGAACTTCTTCAGCTCGTTCTTCAGCTCCAGACTGTGGCTCCAGTCAACGGTTTCGCACACGACCTTCACCTCCACGGTGTAGATATCCCGCAGCCAGGCTCTCTCGTGCATGATGTCCTTGATGGACACGCCCACGCGGACCAGCAGGGCGCACAGATCGTTGATGCCGCCAGGACGATCGCTCACCTCCACATTGAACTTGACCAGGCGCCCCACGGCGGCCAAGCCTCGCTCCAAACAACGTCCAAACACGGTGGTGTCTATGTTTCCTCCACACAGAAGCACCACAACTCTAAGAGAAAAAGACAACGAAATATTTAGAAATTATACTGAAGGCTAGTTAAAGTACTTACTTCTTTCCCTTGAGCTCATTCAGGTGTCCGGCCAAAATGGCCGCTAGTCCAGCACCACCCGCTCCCTCGACGACGCATTTCTCCTCCTCCACCAGCCTGAGGATAGCCACTGCGATCCACTCCTCCTTGACCACCACCATGCGATCTATTAGCGGCATGGCGGTGGCATAGGCATTATAGCCAACTTTGGGAACGGCCAAGCCATCAGCCAATGTGTTCTTGATGGGCGTGTGAATGGGTCCGTCGTTTTCCATGGCCCGGGTGAAGCTGGCGCACTTCTCCGACTCCACACCCTTTTTAACAGGGATTCAGAACACATAGAACTACGAATTATTAAAATACATGGAATATACTCACAATAATCTTGGTTTTGGGGGACAAGGCCTTGACAGCTGTGGCAATACCAGCAATCAGTCCACCGCCACCCACCGGCACCACCACTGCATCCGGTTCGGGCACCTGTTCCAGTATCTCCAAGCCAATAGTACCCTGGCCGGCCATGATGTGCGGATGATCATAGCCATTCACGTACAGTAGACCCTCCTCGCGGGACATTCGCATGGCCAGGGACTTGGCCTCGCCCATGTCGTTTCCCTCGACGATGACGCGGGCCTTGTAGTTGCGGCACCTCTGGACCTTCATGATGGGCGCCGCCTTGGGCATCACCACGGTCACTGGTATATTGAGTTTCCAGCCGTGATAGCACAGGGCCTGGGCGTGATTGCCCAAGGAGGCACTGATCACTCCGGTTCGCTTCTGCTCCTCGGTCAACGATAGCAGCGCATAGCGTGCGCCACGCTCCTTGAAGCTGTCGGAATTGTGAATTGGGTCTATCAGGCACATGTTGTTCACAAAATCAAAAACCAATTAGCAACAGCAATTAATTTGAGCCAATCGAACCATATCTTTCAATTAAACGGTATCTTATCGGATCTTTGACTTTTATGTGCACCAAAATTTATCACCCAAATTTTGGCGTTATAATAGAAATGCGACGTACCCTATTTAACTGCGATGCGAAAAAAGTGTTTTTAGCTATCAACAAAACAAATATGTTCAACCTATTTCCGTAACTCAAAATGCATATTATTTAATAATTATAAAAAATCCGCGTAAGATCCGCTTTGTAGCTCAATTTTGACTGTGGAACACATGCAAATACAGCCTCTTATCAAAGTACAAAAATGATTCTCCCAGACGCAATTTATAGTATACTAATTGATTAATATGTGTTGAGCGAAACCGATCAGTATAAACAATAATAAAGCCGAACTAGCAATGCACCTTGGACTTATATATACAAAACATAATATATATATAAAAAGTACACAAAAGGGGGAAGACCTAATCGCTGTTAATTGTTTAAAGGTCATACAAATTTATAAATGAAAAATTAAAATACATTTTCCATTTTTCAAATGCTGATGACTTACCTGCCTGTATATTGCAGGAAATCCTTTTTCAGATACAACTCCATGCCATATAGCTCCGACGATGTGGATTTCTGCAAGTCACTCAATTAATCGGAATTTGAGGGAATAATTATAGGAATATCTACCGGACAAGGAGTGCGTTCCACGCCACCGCGGATGAGAAAGGCAGCGGAGGTGACATCATGGAAGGATATGCGCTGCGGTTTCTCCGGGTTGCAGAAGGGATCGATGATTTCCTCCACACCACCGGAAACATGTCTGGGTCTCTTCAAGGCTTCCAGCTTGCCATTGACAGCGGTGCCATTGGCCTTGGTCGCCAAACCATTTGGTTCCTTGGGCGTTTCCGTCTTCACTGCCTGGGACATTGCACCTAAAAGTCACTCTAGATCCTTTGGGTTCAACTGCTCGCCGAATACTGATGAGTGCGACTATAATGGGAACTGGTATATATATAGCCGAGTGGATGAGGAGACTCCATTGGGTCGTAAATACGGCACCTTTGCGTTTCAATTGCCGGCTGGTCACTTTATGGGGCCTGGCCTGACGACGAGCTGATAAGAGCTGTTCTGGCAGCCTCAAATGAAACAATAACAACGATAACGTTTTCCCTAGTTTTCCCTCTTTTATTTTGGCAACAATCGTCGCAACTGTTTCATCTCGATAGGAAATAAAGTCTACAAGAAGTCGAGTGCCTGTTTTGAAAGGGGGTCAAAAATGATAAGGATTTAGCAGACTTATCTCTAATCCGCAGTGGAAATATTTAAAAGTATTGGAAATTTTTAGAAATTTGCAGACCAAGAAGTACTATTTAATACATATTTTCGTTCTATACAATTTAATTACAGTTTTATTCAATTATTGTAATTTAATCACGACAGATATAGAACATATGTAGGGGATTTATTTTTGTGGTTGCCTAATTTTCCATTAATTCATAATTGCATCTACAAAAATCGTACGAGCCCCCATTTTCGTGTTTTGTAATAAAATTAAGTGATAAGCTCGATTTCGTAGACACGCCCATTTATTATTGCCAAAAGAACCACGCTTATCTTATCAGCAAGAATAACATGATACGAGATGCTACCAAAAACAAAATTGGCAGCTTTATGGGTCGAAGGCCAACCAGTTTGCAGGATTGGTGACCGTCATTTGCTCCACTTGCTCCAAAGTAACACCGCGATCGAACATTCTGGGCAGGATGTTGGTATGAATGTGATGATAGCCATGACCGCCATAGGAGGTCTAATTATATAGGAATATATATAGAGGAAATTTACAATCGAGTTAATTTTAGCTTACCAATCGATGTTTTGTATGGATGTCGTGGGACATGAGCAGCTTGTCCACCAAACCCTCTTTAATCAGCTTTATCAGGTTGTCGATTCGTTGGCCATCGGATATCATATCCACGCTGGTATTCAGCTGATAGAAGGAGCACTCGGTCCCAAAGAGATCGTACTGAATGTAGCAGCCCAGCTTGGCGAACTCCAGCAGCTCATCGATGTCGAAGATGGTGCCTATGGGATATGGTACTTTCCATAAAACTGGGAATATGCAGTACCATAGTACTTACGATCCAAATGGGACATGACACACTTGTCGGCACGTCCACCCGCTTCCAAATAAAGACGCATGATCTCAAACGGAGCCTTGGTAACACGATGCGGATGCATGGAAACACCGCAGCCAAGGACTTCCTGGATCTCGCCGGCCGCCTTAATGGCATTTTTCTCAAAATCTTAATGGAATATCATATTAAAATGCGGGATTCTAGATAGGATTTGCTGCCACCTACCATGAATGGGATAAACGCTGGCCACCTCGCCAATGAAACCGCACTTGACCATCTTGCCATTGACCTGCAGTCCAGTGATGATGTCCTTCGAGTACAAGTCGCTCATCTGCTCCACGCTTAAGCTGGCATGGCTGGCATCCTGCATGGCATGGATGTAGTGCCCGGTGCCGGCAATAAAGTGAACACCAGTGCTCTTGGCCAGCTCCACAATGAACTCCAGGTTGCGCTTTAGTCCATAGCTGCTGTTCTCCACAATGCTTCCACCACCGTGCTTCTTGTAGAGCAGCACATCCTTCTTGGCCGCCTCGAGGGCTTCTCCGTCGTAGAAGCGGACATTCTCCTTGCTGGAATACGGATACAGGCGCACATAGCCCAGCGTGGACATGCTGATCTTGGCCTTAAGTTCGCACTCGAAATCCGGCGGCGGTGGGCGGTAGAAGTGCTCGAAATCCAGGGCAACATGCTCGTGGGTCAAAGTTCGCCCCAGCAGATTGGGAGTAATGGTGCCCAGAACTGTATGCACAAACAGCGGAAAATTTCATTATCTGATGAGCTGAGATAAGCTCAAAAATAGCTCTTATCTCCCTGGGATTCCAACTCACCGGTTTGTACGGTTGACATATTCACAGCTTTCAATGTGGGTCACGCTTTGAATTTTTTTTTTTTTTGCTCTCCTCACGCTTGGAAGATACTATTTTTAGAAGGCGATTTCAGCGGACCGATCTCTACGAAAGCCAACGGAGAACTGATCTGGAGAGATCTTTCATTGTGGAGTTCCCTAACCGCAGATATATGTTTACAGTTGCTTTTGCTTGATCCCGGACCCCACTTATCTAGAAAATATTCCATTGCGCACAATCAGAGATTGCACTGGGCTGAGTTGTGATCTTCCATTAGTCCTCATTACGAAGCATCAGAATCAATTTTAATATGCCAAATAAATGCAAGGCTTCTATTTTGAGCTGATAATATCTTTTCGCCAAATGCACTCAACAACATAATCACCCTTAATCGCTCAAATGAAAGTCAGGTGGCTTATATTTCTCAGAATAATTCTCTTTATTAGTTCCATTTCTTTCCGTGTTTTGTATTTTCTTTTTAGATTTACTTAGGTTTAATTTTATCAGTTTAGCGATTTCTCATTTATCAGATATACATCATATGTGTGTATATATAGTCTATATATATACTCATTTATACTTAAGATATATGTTTCTGTTATTCATACGACATTGCTGCATCATTCATTTAACTGTTATATCTCGTATATATATATATTTCTTTCGATTTGTCTTAAGATCTAAGCATTCATTATTTTACCATTCGCGAAGAATCTGTCAAATATTGTAATTGTTGCTTTAATTCTTTGTCTGGGCTTTCAATTAGTTTTTGGAGTTTTTAGCAGCTTAATTTATAGACAGATCAAAACCTTTTTTGTTTCTTCATTTGAAAGTGGTAACTGTGTTATTCTGTTTTAAAAATTATCATAACGAAATAAGCGCACACAAATTCATTATTATTTACTTGCTGAGTTTAGGTAGTTACTGAGTTTTACTTTTGAACACTTGCTGTGACTTTAGTTAGGTAATTAACTATTGCATGAAGAGCGAACAAGCCATTTTGAAACACATCCCAGAGCCACTCGATCTACTCCTAATTGGCCATTAAGCCAACTCTTCATCTTCATCTAAACTACTTAGCACCTTGGCTTGGCTTCGGTTCCGAATGGATATCGAAAGATGGAAAAACGTATCTCGCAAAAGCTGCATCCAAACAAAATGTTAAATGGAAAATGAAAAATGCAAATGTTTTTAAAAATTATATTATCGCCTTTTATTGAACATTATCCAGTTTGCTATATAAATTTTGGAGTTAATATTGTTTCATTGTTCATTTCAAATGTTTTTGTGGTTGCTCTTTAACTTCTATTTTATTGTATTTGTTTGTTTATGCATTTGTTTAAGTTTAATTAAAATAGTTGTTGCTCTTATATACGCCCGGATCTGAGGCTCATGTTTAGGTATAAGTATATATCTATTTCTATTTAGATTTTCTAGCTTTACCGTTTCTGTGTTAAATATATGTTCACTGTTTCTCCACCCAACTGGCTGCAGATATTCTCATCCGACGCATTTAATTACAATTACACATTAGTACAATATTTATATACGCATAGTTTTAGATATTGGATGCATTCATATTCAAGTTCATTAAATCCCATTCATACGCTTAAATCAACTAATTTCGTTCCATTTCTGCTCCTGCTGTCAACAAAACACTTCACATATCCAAAGTAAGAGTCAAACAAACATCAAATTCGGCTAGCAATTGCAAAAGATTTTAACACAAGTAGAGTTTGGCAGAAATTGGATTCTCGGGCTGGGGATTTAGGATCGGGATGCGAATTGGGATTGGGACTGGATTTGTTATCGGTATGGGAGTGATTGCTTGCGTGTTGTTTGATTAGCTTATAAGCGCAAAAGTGACTAAGAGGTGCACACAACAAAATAATAATTAATCTGGTAATATAATAAAGAACTACTAGAATAAACGTTGTGGTTAATAATAATAAAAGTTTATTACGCTTAGTTATAATTATTATTTGCCTTTTCACTTTACTCTTTTCGTTAAATATATAAACACAATTTGAACTAAAAGCACACTAAAGCATTGTAAATGATTGTAACTGAAAACTACAACTATGCAAAAATGATAGAAATGGGTTTTAATCGATTCGAACTTCATATTCATATTATTCAACTTCAAATAGTCCTCGGTTTGAAGTTAGTAAATCAGTTTTAAAACGCTTTTAAACTGTGTTAAACTTGTTCGTTAATTCTTAAAATCCATATTGTGTGTTCATGTATGTATACAATTTTTCTAATTAATTTTATAGATTTCAATTAAATTATGATATACGTATATGTAGTGTTGCCTTTATCATTGTGGTGGGGTATAAAATTAAATTAAAATGACATTTAGCTGTTCTTGTTGATTAATTGCAGTTTCTCACATCCCTAATTTCTCCCATTTTATCTCTGGCTCTGTACATTTAGGTTTCGTCTTTCATTTAAAATTATATTGAAGTTCGTTTCTAGGTTGCATTTTTCATCTCTGATTTTGTACAGTTCAAATGTTCTGACTAAACACCCCCTAACGTGCTTGGACTTCACTATTGCTGGATTGGTTTGCTTAATTCTCCCGTCCAGAATCTCCTGTGCCCAAGGAAGGTCTCGAATCAGCTTGAACTTTGGACCCACTTTGAGACCGAGATTCCCCAGATCAACGTGTAACTAGGAGTGTTACCCAAGATTGGGAAGCACCACTAGATAAGTTCGATCTCGCGAAACAAATTCCCGATGGGAAGGCGATTGGTTAAAGGCGAGTTTGGTGTCGGCTTCTATTTTGCTCCTGGTGTGAAAGCGATTCCTTTCAGTTCTGTGTGCCAAATGTACTTATTGGATTGGTTTTGGTCTTGTGGGAATTTTAATTGTAGAATCAAATTTATTGCATTATTTCCTTTTTGTTATTGGTAAGTTTAGTTTTACTTACATTTGTTTTGATTTTTTTTTCAATTTTTGCATTTTTTGTTTAGGGTTAACAACACAATTTATTTCTAGATTTAAATTTATTTGCATAGGTGTAATTGATTTGAATAAAATTGTAAATTATGTACTACAGAATGGAGAAAGCTAAATTAAAAAGGGGTTTGTTGTTTTGTTGTGTACGCATGTGTGTTTTAATATAAACAAAGAAAAACTAAATAACGCTTAAAGCAATAAAATTCTAAAGACGAACCATATATATTTATTGTATTTTTTGCATTTTTTGTTTGCCATTTTTGCTGAATTTTCTTTGTAACCGCTATATATATATATAGATAGAATATGCTTTTAAATGGTTTTTATCTTTTGTTTTTCGCCTTAATGTGGATATACCCAAAGAAACTATATGTGTGTATGCTTCACACGATTTACATATCCTACCATATATAGATGTAGATATAGTTAATATTATGCATATATATATAATTCATCGAAAATCAGAAAATTAAAATCAATTCAATTTAATGTTAGAGGGACAGGAGGGCAAAAAGTAAAACGAAGAAAAAACGCCGCTTGCACTGCATTCGCCTGCTTTGATTCACTAATTAATTATAATTATATTTAGATTTCTATGTATAGGGAGTTGTTATGCTCCAAGTTGCTTTACACTAATCGCGCTTCTCCTCTCTCTCTCTCTCTATAGCTATTCTCTCTCTCGCTCATGTCTAGCGTGGTCGTGGATTCTTAGCAAACTTTTTAGGGAGCTCTACACAACTGCGTTATTCTTGGTTTCTTTTCTTCAGGTTTTTTTACATTTTTTTTGTGGTGAGGGCTTTGTTTTTTTACGCTTAATTTTTGCATATTTTTTTCTTGCTTTTTCTTTTTTAATACATATACATAATTAATTAATATATATTAGTTTTTTCTTTTTCATTTAATAGCTGATAATTAAGAATTGAGAAAGAGTTGGTTGCTTGGTTGGTTGGTTTTTTTTTGTATGTGAATTTGGGTTTGTTAAATTTTTCTTAAAATTTCTTTTCGTACTTTGCATTTTTACTTTACTTTTTTTTTATTTAATACACTCGAACATATTACAAAAACAAATGACACACATTGTCTTACTAAAAGATTGTTGCGGTGTTTGATAACATGAAACAAAGGTTTGTTGTTTGTTGTGTGCTTGTTGTCGTTGTAAATGTGGCGGTGTGTTATTTCTTGTGTTTTTAGCTAAATACAAACAATTTTCAAATTGTATTTGGAATAACAAATTATTTCAACGTTAATCAATGAATGGTGTTTTCTTCAAAACTGTTTTTTTTTCGGCCCAGCTCAGCAGGCGACCAAGGCAATCGGTTGTGCTGGTTGTTGTTGATGTTGCTGCGTCTGTTGTTCGGATTCCACAAACGCGGCGGTGATTGTTTTTGCACTTGCTAACGCTGTCACGCGTCTGGTTCAAGATGTACAAAGGTGTTGGCTGCTGAACGCTGCTTGCTGATGCGTTTGGCTGCTGCATGTGGCAAGTTGCTGCCGCAGGTTGCTGCTGGCCGTTGCTAGCTTAACGTTGTTGAGCATCGAAATTGTTGTTCCAGTTGTTGCTGCATTTTTTGCGGGGTATTTGGTTATCGTTTCTCTGAACTATTGTTGCTTGCTTTTGCTGTTTACATTATAATTACATTACAATTACAGTTTATATCGAATTTTTTAGTATTACTCTCTGTGTATTTTTGTGGTGTGTGTGGTGTGTGTTTATGCTTTCTGCTGTTGATTTTCTTGTTGTTGGTTGTTATAGCGCAGCATATATATTTATATATGTACTCTTATTATGTGTAGTTGGTTATTATCATTCTACGGCTACTGTTACTGTTACTGGCACAATATCGAAATTCAAATCTTTTGAATCTTCTCGCCAACGACAACCGGATTGTTGCGTCGGATTTCCTGTGCGCCATGCTCTCTATAATCGAATGTGCAATTATGTTTATCAGAATAACGATGCACGGCGCAGTACAGACCGCCGCAGCGACACTGGAAACCTACAATTAAAAGATTGTTTTCGTTAGAAATGATGTACAAACATTTAGGAATTTAAGGCACGCGACACTTACCGGTCAGTCCAACTTTCTTGCGGCACTCGCCACATCGGTTCTTCTTCTTTTTGGCATCCTTATCGTCTTCCTTGTCCTTGTCATCCTCCTCGTTGGCGGAGGCGGCTGCTTGTGTGGAAGTGTTTGGACCAGTCGCCGATGTGATGGCTTCGCTGTTGACTTTGGCAGCAGCCGTGGCTTCTTCGGTGATTTTCTGCGGAAACGGAAACAAAACAAAAAGGAATTTCAATCACATGACAAAAATATATATGATGGCATCAACAAATTTTCTATCCGTTTTCCCATTTGCACAGTTGCGGGCAAAATTGTAGTGAAGGGCGAGATTTACAATTCAAAAAGGGAATGGAAAATCACTATTAATCTTCTAGATTTCCTAAGCACGAAAAATCAAATTGTAGCTCAGCCCAGAAGCAAAGCATCTATTATTGAAACCACAACTATACATTCTCGTCCTCCGCCTCGATCTGCATTCAAAAAGCCTTGAAGATCTTTGCTTTAGTATATTTCCTTTTTTATTAGACTAAACAATTTCGACTGTTTCATCAAAATGATTTAGTATCCGCTGTGTGGTGTTGAGTGGCGTCTTTTCTTTGCCTTAGCAGAGCACCGTCAACTGTGCAACTGTTGCCAAAAATTCGTATTCGTATCGAATCGGCCGAGTGAGAATCTATTTTGTGAGGAAAACAAGAGTGGCGATGCGATGATGATGTGTGTTGTGGTGAATGTTTACCCGCTTCTTAGCTACGACCACAGCAGATGCGCCTTCTGCAACCTCTGCCGTCTTTACACTGCCCACATCGCCTCCATCGGGAGACACACTTCGACAACGCTTTTCCTGTTGAACCTGTTGGTCTGCTCCTTGATGCACCTGCTCTTTCTCGCCGGGACTTTCCGGCTGATCGCCGCCTTCAGACTTTTCCATAGACTCGCCGCCCATTTGGTTTTTGTATTAGACTACTCCGCTGACTGCCCGTTGCCGCCGCCGCTGGTTTCTTCCTAGCCGCTAAGACCGCACTGCTATCCCCCAAATGAGAACTGGATGCGAGCAGAGTCTTTGCGCCGCTACCGCCACTTTTTCTGGTCGTCTTTGTCTTGGGCTTTCCGGTCCGGCTACCTGTAGTTACCGATTCCTTGGGCTTTTCTTCCTGTACTGCTGATCTTTTAGCCTTACGCCGCAGCGCTGTTACTAATGCAGATTTTCCCGTTGCCGGCGACGATTTGCCCACAACGTTTAGCCGCAGAATACGTGGTGGTTCTGGTGCTTTTACGGGTTCCACGTCAACGATGGTCCCGTTTTTGTATATGTCCAGGTTACTTGTGGCAATCCCAGATGAGTTTAAGAGCTCAGTCGCCGTCTCACCAATTCCGCCCTCCCGACGCGATCGAATCCGCTTCAGCTTCTTAACCTTCTTCTTCAGCTGCAGCTCGCCAATCCGGGTGGACTTTTTGGTGTTTGTAAGGGACGGAAATGTGTGCACATTGGCCGAGAACTTCACGCGCCGCTTGATGCTTGAATCTGTGTCCTTGCCTCCTCCCACCTTACGGCTGACCAGGGAGCTCTTTTTGGTGGCTAACCAAGGTTGGGTTACGTTGCTGCTTCCGGTATGTGAGACCAATCCGACGACTGGGGCGCCAGGCACCTTGGCAGCAAGTTGAGCGGCGGCAGAAGCGGCTCCTCCTGCAAAGGCTGCTGATGTTGCTGTTGGCCCTGTCCGGCGGAATGAGCGTGGCGGCGGGATCGGAGCTGCTGGACGGGTTGCTGTCGCTTGTGCTGCAACATCGCATCAAAGTAGAGGAGAGATGTGTAGGTGGGAAACGAGGTTAGTGCGCCTGGGCGACGCCGGTAGACCCAGTAAGAGCATTCAGTACCCTTCGAGGACGCATTGTGTTGCGGGAAACCATTCCTATCCATTCCAGTGACCAGGCCAAGGCCCACCGGACCAGCGGCTATCGGTCCGCTTAGACTAGTTAGCGCCCCGGCTGCGGACCGTTTAATTCCAACGCTCATCGATCTTTTCCGCTTATCAGTCGATAGAAGCGCGGAACCGGATCGAGTTTTATCAACAAGTGTTTTACTTTTGGGAGGTACCACACGACCAGTTTTCTTTTGCGGAGTAGCAACAATGGTAACGACCATATTGACGATTTGAAAAGACCTTTAATTTTGAAATACGGGCCGAAATGTTAGAAAAATTTTGATTCCGAGTAGAAGGAACTGCCAAACTGTAACCGAATGGAATTGACAGATAAGTGATACTAAACCGATCGATTAGTTGCAGGTATACGGGGCTTCTGAGATAGCATCCAGAGCCATATATATATACTTTTGCTGAAGAAAGTCGAAATTATCTTGCACGCATAAAGTAGTTGACTTAATCGAAAAGGAAAATTCTATTCTACTTTGAAATTGAAATGAAATCTCAGAATCCCCGATTTAAGTCGTCCTAAGATTATCGTAAGATGAAGAGGCAGCTTCTTGGAGTGGTCACTGGCGGATAGAGAACACTTTACCTTATTTACAAATGCAGCAGAACAATCGGTGGCAGAAACATCAGGGTACCACACTCATCAACACAATCACAAATGTTACAGAGATCACTAAACTAAATCGACACCGCAAGCCAACTTCTTGAAATCCCCTAATTTTTTTTGCACAAACAACAAATTGTTTCAACAATTTCACTTAAGATTACACTGAATTTATGTCCGAAAGTCAAAAGTAATTGTCACTGACTGAATGTAAACATTCACTAAACTGGGCACAAAATGCCAAGCCTATGTGGATATCGTGCAAATCGAAGCAGTCATGTTTCAATAATTAGCCAATTTTTCAATATTCAGAAATCCATAATCTGCACAGTGCTAATTAAAGCTTAAGAGTGGTGCATGGAAATATCATCATTTGAAAAAGTGTCATATAAATCTACAACTAATCTTCCTTGATAGTGAAAACTGGAACTACTCCTGGCAAACATCTCCGTAACTCTGCTCACCTCTTTGACATCGTTGTGTGGCTGTTGTAAACTGGTGACTGTGGGCTGTGCGGTGTTGGTGATTGCGATGGCCGGACTGAATGTGGGGCTAGGTTGTGGGCTTGGAACGGAGACAGGTGTGCTGCTCACAGGTGGCTGTTGCTTTTTTCTAAGCGAGTCCTGTGGATAAGAGCATGCAAAAAGGATTAATATTTGTGTTCACTTGATTGAATTTATCGAAAATACTCACCTTATAGCATACGGAGCAGAGACCATCTGTGGCTGGATTACCATAGAAGCCGCAACCGGAGCGGCACATGGGTTGCATTGGGTTAGATTCACGTTCCATGGCTGGCTAGAGCGCCTTTGTGTTTCTGTGCGGTCGGTTTCTTTGTTTGATTTGCTTGATTTGCCTAGCCTGCTTTTACTTTCGCCCAGCGAAGTTTCGTCTGCTTCCTGCTGCGGCAGCGATTCCTTTCCTTCCTGCTCTCAGTCGTGGAAGCGTGCAATTTTCAGATTGGCAACGTGCAACTAGCGACTTGCAACTTGCGACTCGCAACTGGCAACTGTTGATCCGCCGTTGTTTTTGCGGGCCTTGTTTTAACTGTTGTTTAATCAGTTCGTCCAATTATTAGGCTGCGCTTATGTTTTTTGCTTCGTGACTGCCGCAAATAATCCGGAGTACGAGCTGTAAAACGAAAAAAAGATAGGGCACAGTTAGTTAATTTGTCTTGTTGAACATTTATCAAATGCAGCATAATGTAATTTTTCAATGTTCAATGTTCAGAAATCCATAATCAGCACGACGCTATTGAAAGCTTCAGAGTGGTGCATGGAAATATCATCATTTGAAATAAAGTATCATCTATAAGTGATTGTTGGTCATATGGAAACAATTAAAATGGATTATGTTGTTTGATAATAATTATCTGCAACTATGTTGCACTAAATTGCATTGCAACACGTTCAATAAACAAGCCCACAATCACACATACAAAATATGAATGTATGCTGGCGTGGAGGCATAAAAAATGTTGCAACAACAGCAAAAACCACATGACAAGTAAAAACTATGTTGTTTTTCATTTATCCGCTTGCTCTCTTCAAGGCTGTCAAGCATATCGCACACAGATATAGACACTATAGGTACATCTGCGAGAGAGGCAATTAAGTCGGGCCTAAACCAGTTTAGCCAGCAAGCTGAGAACGAGACGTAGTAAGAGGTAGTAAGCTAAACGAGTTTGGTTTTATGTTTAATGAATATAAAACAGTCACACCTAACGGTTCCGACTGGTGCCATATACATATATTCCCCAAGTATCCAATTGTTTATTGTCGATCGATTAAACAGAAAATACCTGGGCAGTATCGATTTATCGCGATCAGTTTACTTTCTCAAAGTCGAAAAGTCGACGTGCTGAGCTGCACATCCATCACAAACGAAGTAAGAGAGAGTTATGGGCGAAATCCGAGACATACACTGAACGATACATCTGTTTATAGCGCAGTTCAAAGTACGCACTCCCTTGTACCCTAATCGTTTTGCAATATGTTGTGAAACTCAAACTGTATAAATTATATAAACTGGTTTCAGACACTTTCCAACAAAGACATACAGATATTAAGTCCTTTGAAAGCAAATAAAAAAAAGTTTTCGAAATTATTATTTTGGTTATTTAGTTATTATTTTGGTTGTAATCAAAATTTGAGTTTTTAAAATATACTACCGTTTAAACGATTCATTTCCCGCAGTGTAAAAGCAAAGTCAAAACCTAATGGTAAAAGTCATCATCCACCAACAACAACAACAACAACAATAAAGAGAGGTGGGAGATTGAACCATCAGTTACATGGTCAACAAAGAAGAAATGAGAGAGAAAGAGAGAGCAAAGGAAAAAGGGCGAGAGAGAGGCGAATTGAGCACAAGCACAATAACATTTACTGTTATTTTCAATGCGACTTTGGAGCTCGGGGCGAGAATAAAATGGGCACACGAAGCTCTGAATGCGTGAGCGTTTGTTTGCATGTGTGCGTGCGTCTGTGTGCAATAAAGAGAGCGATATTCTGTTATACAAAATTTGACCTTAGTGGTGAGAAAGCCAGCTCTGCTGCCGTAGATTACAAACTAATAAATGGCTTAAATTACGGGGGGTTCCTCGTCGACACAAAAAACCATTGCACAACTGTGGCCAATACAGGCAAAGTTTTTGCTCAATATATAGACAGGCTTTAGAGATGTGCGCATGTAAAATACATACAAACAAAACAAAAAATGGCCTCAGCAACTTTTACATTTACAACGTAGCATGGGGAGTATTTTTTCGAGAGCGCAACATTTGCCGTGGTGAGTTTGAGCTTGATAGAGAAAGGGGGGCCAAAAAGTGACATATGTTTACACTGGCATTGCATTTACTAAAGTTTGTACATACAATCGACTGAATTCAGTGTGTATTGGTGTTGTTTTTATGTGGTGGGCGCAGCCATAAATAATTTTCGTAGCTTTTGCCTTTATTTCAACGCAGATTTTGCTTGTATGAGAAAATTTATTTTGATTTATAGTTGCGGTGTGGAGCGCAAAGCAAACAAAGTGCAATGTTCAAGTGTGTTTGTATGTATGCTGGCTTGATTTCCTGCTGTTGTCATTTAATTGCAAAGTCAAAACAGCTGGCCGTCTCGCATCCTCTCTCTCAGTCACACATGCACTTTGTGTATATAGGAGGTGGGCTAATCAAAATGTCAACAATAAAAGAAAAAATTCCCCACACAACAAATTGGCTGACGAATATCTATCTCCCTCTCTCTCTCTCTCTCTTGTACGTACTACACAGTAAAAATTATATATGAAAATTTATCAACTATTTCCCCATGTTTTTGTATAAAATGTCACACCAACGACTTAGCAGTAATACAGAAACATATTGCTTGGGTCAATAATTACTTGAATATAACTAAATACTATCGTTTGGTTAGTTGCTGTTTTCAGTGAACGTGAGTATATATAAAAGTAGGTACGTTAGTATGTACATAACATATGTACGTCAACAAGCACGCGCGGCTGCTGTGCCAATGTTTTTTTATTTTTGTATATGAAGAATAAAAGCTTTGCATATGTATTGAGTTTATTTATTTTGTTTTGTATGCCTCCTTCACACTGCTCCCCCCTTTCGACAACTTGACGACCTCTGCTATTTTTAAGCGAATTCGTTTTGTTATCTAGCGAGCGTGTGGTGTTCTGCTTTCGTGTGTTAAAGTGTTGGCCATTAAAGCAAATAGGAAATCATATGATTCTTTCGGGCAAACTTTATGACGACATCACTCAAGCGCGTGACGTCATTGTTTGTTTGCTCTCTTACGCAGCAAAATGGAAAATGCGCATTCGAGTGAATTGCATAAGTAAAAAATAAAATAAGAAAATACATATGCAAGTGCTAAGTGCAAAACAATTAGCAAGAAAGAAAAAAATTAGCGCGTGGTTTCACCATTGCAAAAGGCATTATTATGCAAGTCGGAGGCGATAACAGAATAGAAATCGCGGGAGGCGAGAAGAAACGGTTAATAAATGATATTCTCCGGTATTATGCACTTTTATTGAGTGCCAGCTTATCTGGTTTTGCATTACGCAAAAAAAAAAAAATATATATATTATTTACATTTCATTTATTAAACAATTACGTAATTTTCTAGCTTTTTTCTTCAGGTGTGGTGCCCCAGTAAACATGCAAGTCAAACGTGAACGAATCAAATTGATTACTTGGCTTGGGGTTTTCAGAATCGGGTATCGCGGTGGGGTATCAAAAAGTCGACTACCACTCTCTTTCCGCTATACACTGATATGAAAACTGTGATAAAAAGCGGACGGTAGTAAACAAATTACAAACACACAGGTTAATGTGCTGTTGACCTGCATTCAAATACTGAATTTACAACAGGAAAGGCTCGAGAAACGGACATGACGACGCAGATGATGATGATGATGGGCAGCATAAAAGGTAAAAAGAAAATAAAGAAAGAAAAAGACATATAGTAAGTAACTCCAGGAACAACCACAACAAACATAAACCGCTCTGACTCACATTTGCATATTAATGAGCCCGTAAAGCGGACCAGACAACAACGATAAAAATAAAGGAGCAGCAACAGCAACAAACATATGCTGATGAAATGCAACCAAAGAGACAACATCACCCATTGAATTATTAAACTTTATTAAAATGTGCGCAAAAGGAGGCACAAAGCAAAAGAGCAGAGACTAAACGAGAGAGAGACAGAAAGAGAGATAGAGAGCGAGAATCAAGATGGCTGCTCGGCTCAATTTAGAATCGAGTTGAGCTCAGGGGCTTAAGCTTAAGCTCAAAACGCAAGTAAGCAAGAATGCGCGGAGCTTCCGGTCACAGCCTTAACCCTCCAGCCACCCCGCCAACTAAATATGGCCCCATTCGCTTGGAATCATTTAGTTGTACTTTTTAAGCCCGGTTTATATGATAACTGGTTTATATCGAGCGTGATTGACCCCTATTCCAGCTCAAAGTATCACTTACAAATTTTTAATTGTAAAGTCCAAGTGTGGATACCAAAACTAATTATTTCAATATCTCCCACTTTAAAGCGTTAGATAAAGATGTTTTCCAAACCAATCACTTTAAAATGGTTAAAATAATCAATCAATGTTGTAGATAGACACACACTACTACGTATACACAATGGTAGAACGTGCCAATGGAATTGGTTTAAAATTAGAGTTGAAGGCGAAACAAAATATTAAACTAACGGAACACTGGGGAAGAAAGAAGATGCCAAGAAATAGGAGGCCAAGAGGAGAGTGAGAGACGTTGCCGCCCATCATTAATCAAAATAAATTACAATCTATGAGCGGCCGAGAGACGATATGACGACTACATTGAAGACTACAGAACTCTCCTTTCAGACCGAAGGAATGTTATTTTTGCCATAATAAATGATCGCCTCGAGAGGCCATGTTTCCGGCGATTTGGGTTTCGTTGCGAAAATTAATAAAACTCCGAACAACGCCCTCGAAAATGCATGAAAAGACTGATCCCAGACATTGAGGGGCAGGACGGCTTAGGATTAACGTGTATAGTATGCTCGGCCAAACCAAACCACAACCAAAAAACAAAATTGAAACGCTGGGAAACACCTGTTCAAAATTACACAGCTCTGGGAACAAAAATATGTTCAACAAAGCGGAGTCCAAAGTTGTGTGATAGGTCAAAAAACTCCACATGCACATGCCTGGGTAGTGAGTACAAGTTCAAAAACTGAGGGTTGCTGCAAGAAACCATTGATTTGAATGTTGAAGGACGGGAAAAGACAGAGGAAATGGGGATGAGGATTTCGAGGGTTAAAACTGGACAGACCGACAGGGTACTGATTGTTTTTTTTACTAGAATAAACAAGATTAGAATTACTAGTAAATATTGACTATAGTTTTGTCAACAAGAATAACATTTGTACATTAAGTTTTGGTTTCTAATTTTTACTTCGGAAAGGTTTCGCTGCAGAGAGGTTCCACTGTAGACCGATCGCCTGCGTGGCAGGATACAAACAATCAACAGACGACCGACAGGCTGCCCTGCGGACATGAACTGATTTCACCTTGAACCCGGGTTCTTTTGGTCCCAGACAAAGGAGAGAAGCGAGGACCCGGAGAACGAACCACAGAAGTCAACA